GAGCTTCGGGACATCCCATCTTCCAATCTCTTTTCAAACCCCTCTTGCTCAGTTCTCTTTGCCTCTTTTGTGGTATGTTTCTCATTTCCTCTGTCGGTTCACATTTAATTGGCCCACAGTGAAGATCTTGAATTTCTTGATCAATTGGATGGAATTGAGGACCCACATATAACCCTACATTCTTATAGCCACATGATTTTTTGACAAAGAGGCCAAAAATGCACATTGGAGAGAAGATAATGTCGTTAACAAATGGTGCGGGCCAAACTGGATAGCTGTATGTACAGGAATGAGGCTAGACCCTTGTCTCCCATTCTGTACAAAGCCCAACTCCAAATGGAACAAGGGCCTCATGAGGCACATGACCTGATATCCTGAACCTGATAGAGGAGAAAGCAGGAATGTGCTTCATCTTATAGGCACAGGGCTTGTGAGCAGGACCTCTGTACTGCACATCTTAAGAATAACTACTGATAAATAGGACCTCATGAAACTGAAGCCTTTTTGTACAACAAAGAACACCATCATCTGAGTGACGAGGCAGCCTGGAGAATGGGAAAAAGTCTTCATCATCGGCACATCTGACGGAGGGTTGCTATCTATAACACAAAGGACTAAAAATACAAATACAAATAACTATTAACAATTGGGGCCTGGAGCTAAACAGAACTTTCAAAAGAAGGAATACAAATGGCTAAAATTATTTTTAATGGTCAGTGTCCATAGCTATCATAGAAATAAAATAAATAAATAATAAATAAACAAATAAAACAACTTTGAGATTTCATTTTACCCAGCCAGAATGGTTAAGATCATTAAAACAAATGACAAAAATTCTGACATGGTTTCAGGGCAAGGTCACATTATCCACTGTTAGTGGGAGTGAAAAATAGTATAGCGACTATGGAAATCAGTGTGGAGGTTACTCAGAAAGCTAGAAACAGATCTACCATAAGATCTAGCTGTACTACTCCCAGGCATATTCACAAAGGTCTCTCCATCTGTTACAGAGACACTTGTTTATCCATGTTCATTGCCGCGCTATTCAACCACATTCAGGAAGTAGAAACAACCTAGATGTCCAGAATGGATAATGTAAATGTGGTTTACATACACAATGGAATATTACTCATTTGTAAAGAAAATGGAAAGTGGCCTGCACTGCCATCTGAGGCCATGGTGATGTCTGGGTTTATGCTGCCTCCAAGGGTCATGTCTGGGTCCGACTGTAGCTGGGGTCCGTGTTACCACCGAAGGCTATGTGGTTGTCTATGGACTGTGCTGCTGCCAAGGGCCATGTTTATGTGAGTGGCCCTAGCTGCCACCTGAGGCTATGTTGATGTCCTTGTTCTGTGCTGTCACCAGAGACCAGGCTGAGGTCAGTGGCATGGGCTGACACCAGAGACCATGAGAACGTTCACAGTCCTTGCTGTCTCCAGGAACCATGTATGTGTAAGTCCATGATCTGTGCTCCCTCTGACTGTAAAGGTCAAGGAATCTACCTTTGCCATGGTATTAGCGACTGCAGACTTACAGAAAGAAAGAGGGACGTAGAAGACTTCTGTGACGACCCCCACACCCTTCCCCCCCCAAAGTAACAGCCTAGACAGAAAGCATCAAAGAGAACTCTTTAAAATTGTGATAAGGGATGCTGAAGTGTAGCTCCTCACAATCGATGGCTTCTGGTGGGGGTTCGGTTCAGGTGGGGAAGAACTCAGTTTTCTTTAAGGTGCTGGCCACTGGGAGTTTGACTGTGCTCCAGTGAGTATATGGGCAACACAAATTGGACTTGATTTATTTTGTTGTTGTTTGTTTGTTTTCTTTTTCTTTCTTTCTTCTTTTTTGAGGGAGATGTCTCAAGGGTTGGGGACAGACCTGGGAGGACTGGGAAGTGAGGGTGCTCGGGGTTCATGATGTGACATTCCCAAATAATCAGTAAAATATTACAAAAATTAAAAATAAAAGGAGGCTGCAGAAGAAAAAAATAAAATTGAAATTATGAAATTTTCAAGTAAATGGATGAGGCTAAAAACAAATCATTTTGCGGTAATCCAGACCTAGAAAGACAAATGCCACATGTTCTCTCTTATAGCTTTGAATCTTTATATATGTGCGTTTAAATTGGGGCAACCACAGAAGGCAGGAAACTAGTGAGGGGCCATGTGGGTAAGACTGCAAGGAGAGATAGATGGACCACAGGGAGTATGAAGGGGGAAAGGGAACAATGGAAGGGTTCAATGAGGGTGAAGAACGGGAGATCAGGTCAAGGGGGGAATATGGAGACGGACTCACACTAAAGACCTTTGAGGATGCTGTATGGAAACCTACTACTGTAGAAGCTTCCTAAATAAATACATTATACATATACATCATATACATACGCACCATATACATCACAAACTTATACACCACATACACATACATCACATACATATATCCATATACACATACATATACAGTGGCTTCAATGGCATCATCCTGTAATGGGTACAATGGCTCCCCCAGACACGGTGGCTATCACATGAAAAGGTCCAGTGTCCGATGCAGGCTACCTCTTTTGGAGTTGTTCATTAGTGAGGTTCTGAGGAACCGGCTATTGCTATTATTCTTGGTAACCCTTAAGAACTTGATGGTAAGACCCTATTGCTGGAGACGTCACATACCCAAGTCACAGTGCATGGGAAAATGAAGCTAGCCCTGACCTGGAAGCTAGTTCCTGTTGGCTAGCTTTCACAGTACTGCAAGTTTCTATACATGCTACCTGTGGAGAGAAGTCCTCAACAGTCTTTCAGCTGTGAACCCTGTGAGTTATGACAACAACTGGCCTGGTGAGAGCTGAACTCAGGGCCTTTGAATTTCCCATTCTGTGTGGAACACCTCCCTCTCTCCAAAGGCATTTTTTCACCTCCTTTGGCTCCTTGCTGAATGTCTCAGAGGCCCCCTTGGTCATGTCCTGGCGGCTCCCGCTCCATTCTCTTGTTCTGTCCATGCTCCTTGTTTTAGTCTTCTTGATAGCACTTCAGGGGTTTTATCACCCTCTAAAGGACTGCTTAGCCTCCTCTTGATCCTGCCAAGACCATGAACAAGCCCAGAAAAGGGTCTGTCTCCTTTGCTCCTCCCTCCTTTTTCATTTTTATTTTTTATTTTCTAAAAAAACTCCACTATATCACCACACTTTGGAACAGTTCATAGCAAGTTCTCAATACAGGTTTGTTGAGTGCATTCATGACTTTTAAAAAAGATTACCGTGGTGGTTGCAACTGAGAAAACCCAAATAAGGGCAGGACTCCTATGTGCTGATTCATGAGATAGGAGGGTGAGAGAATCCACAGTGGAAGGATAACTCCTAAATTTAACTCCTAAACTGGATTGTTGATGGTGGCATTTATTCGAGATAGCAGTGTCTGGGAGAGGAACAGGTTTGGGAAATTCAGTTTGCGATGGTTAAGTTTAGAATGTTAATGAGTTAAGTAGGCAGTGGAATATACAAATTTAGAATTCCGAGATGTATATTTGGTAGTTTTGAGAATAGAGAAGGGATTTGAGGCCATAGATATGGATGAGATAATGTACAAACTGTAGAGGGAAATGAAGGAGGGAGGGAGGAAGAGGGAAGAGGAGGGAGACAGAAGGCTAGAGGGAAGGGGAGGGGGAGGGGGAGGGAGAAGAGGAGGAAGCCAGAGGAAGAAAGGAGAGGAGAGCCAGCTTAGGACAAATTCCCGCAATTTGGGGCTAAGAAGTGGTGGAGAACAATGGGAGTCATAGTGTCACATAAGGAGGCCGGCCGAGGAAGGAAAGGGTTTTCAGGAGGGAAAGACCTCCCAGTTGGTTGAGGCTAAGAGCTTGAGCAGGGGCTGGAAAACCATGAATCTTCTGGAGCATCCCATATGGAGATCATTTCCCCCGAGGCAGTTTCAGTCAACTGGGGGGTGGGAGCCAGAGTGTGGAGGGCTTGCAGTGTGAATGGGCTGAGGGGAGGTGAAGAGGGCAGAGAAGGATCTCGAACCTGGGGCTGAGAAGAAGCTCTAAGGGAGGCAGGGCAGGCCTCTTAGCCATGACAGCACCGTCTACCAGCAGCCTCTCCACTGGACTGACTTGTGAGGGGGGGATGAGGACGTAGGTGTCATTCCCGGGTTCAGAGGTTATGATCACAAGGTGCCGTGCTGTCCAGATCTCCCATCCAAGAGTGCTCTCTGTGTAGATCCAGCAGGGAGTGTGGTCAGCAGCGGGACTGGCCTCAGCTCATAGGAGCCTTCCAGGACCACACCCTCTGTATGCTCCCTGCCTCTCCTAACGTGTGCTGGAACACTCTCACCTCTCAGCCTAACGCTGTGACCATCCAGCAAGGTTAAAGCTGTCGCTTTAGCCAACAACTGACCTAGAAAAAGGAATGGCCAGTTCTGCTCTGCTAGCAATGGCTAGGTCAGATGCGCCCAGATGCTACCTTCAGTTTGGGGGCCACGTATGGAGAGAGATGCAAACAACCTTAACTGCTGAGTGGAGTCACAGAGCATAGATGGCAATGGGACTCTCCTTTCTGCTTTTTTTTTTTTTCTTATCTCCAAATCCACACAGTTGTTACACGTTGAGCTCTTGCCCTGTGCCTTGCGAGTTCTCTGCTGTGGTGTGAGGCTAAATTTGGCCTCAGTTCACCCTGGCCAGGAGAATCTACACGTTCAGCGAAATACAGCCTCAGAAAAGGAAATGTCTTTCCAGAAACCTGGCTTCATACCCACAGCCAGAGCTGGATGAGGAGAGGCCCTCTCCAGCCATGTGCCACGCAGCGGTTGAAAGAGGAAGAGGGGGGTGTGTTTTTATGGAAACCTCAGTCGCCTTTCCTTCTCTTCTGTGAATTGCTTCTGTGTTCAGGCAGCCGACTTAGACAGCTGTGAGGAGAGGCATGTGGGCGTGATGGGGGCCTTGGGAAGAAAAGGCCTCTTGTACCCCTGCCTGTATCTGTAGGTGGTGTGACCTGGGAAGACTGAAGAGCCTAGGGTTTCTCAGCAGCGGTGGTGGAAGCCCGGATCCCAGTGGCAATGTTCCTGTGAGCCACAGGGGGCGCCCGAGTACCGGGAGTCAGGAGGTGCCGGCCTAGTCCAGAGAGAACTGGGGCTGCTCTTCCAGGAGGTTATGTGAAGACCAGAAAAGATGCAGAGGAATTTAAAAGCTGAGAGACACTTGTCCTTGTCCTCTGCTTGACAAACACAAAAATCCATCCTTGGAAGCCAGCGCAAAAGCCTTCTCTTAAGGGAAGACTTCTCAAAGTCTAGGCAAAGCCATTTATCCCTTTCTTTTTATTACCCGCCCAATTGCCGTCATAACGCCGTCTCTACAGATGGCTCTGAGTTCCTGCAGAGCAAGACAGGACTCGGCTCCTCCACGTGCCAGGTTAGTATCTGGCCTCTCCTCGGTGCAGGTGTGACTCATGCTTCAGAATTATGAGGGGACTTTTTGGAATGCAGATTCTAGGTGCTATGTGGACTCAGTGAGCCTCGAATTATCATAATTAGGCCCCCCCTATGCTTGTGTACAACACGGTTAATATAAAGTTGATGTTTTCAAGTGCTTTGTTTTTGAATTAATGTATTAATTGATAATTTCATTGATATATATATATAATACAGTCGGATCTCATTCATCTCTTTCCTTGACCTTCTCCTACCTCCATCTCTCTAGTCTCCTTCCATCTTCAACCAACTCCCTATCCCGCTTCCACACTTTTTTTGTTATGTTTTTGCTTTTGTATTGTGGCCCAACTGGGCTTAGCCAGGGTCACTGGCATGGGCATGGATTTGATGCTGTCCGCTGGGTCGTAAGTAACTCACAGGTGGATACGTGGCTAAAGACAATGACTTCCTCTTCCCAAAAGTCTATAGACTACTATTAACTCCCCTCACAGGGTAGGAGCCCCATGAGACCCTCCCCATCAATGAATGTTTATGGGCTCTAACTTGTACAGGCTTATGCAGGCAACCACAGCTGTGGTCAGTTGATGAGTGCCTCGGTCATGCCTTGTCCATCAGAGAGCATTTCACTGCCCTCCTTCCCACCTTCAGGCCCTTACAGTCCTCTTTTCCATCATGTTCTTTGAGCCATGGAAGGGTGGTGTGCATGTCTTATTAAAGGCTGAGTGCTAAATAGTCATCTGTTCTCAGTACCTTTTACCGAACATGATTTTCTACATTGGCCATTGTTTGCTTCAAGGTCCACAGCCGGGAAAGACCATTGCTGACTTTTCTCCCCAATTCGCCTGTAGAGTGACTTCTAGCACTATGAAGGCTATCCAGCAGGTAGAAGCTTCCAGCTCAGTTCTACCACGATTTCTCTGTATTTTGCAACCAAAGTCTGTGGTGTCTTCAGCAACATGATATTATTATCCAATTCTAGTGGGCAACTAAGGACAATGGCCATAACCTATATAGTTTGGGGGACCTCCAAGACCTCAAGTGTTTTTGATCATGAATCAAAACAACCAGAATATAAAACACAGTTTTCATTATGTTTTAGTTAGGCTTTCTAATGCTTTGATTAAACAGCATAGCCAAAAGCAACTGGGGAGGAAAGGGTTTATTTCAGTGTACTATTCCATATCATAGTCCATCACAGAAGGAAGTCAGGGCAGGAACATGGAGGCAGGAACCTAGCTGAAGTCATGGAGGAATGCTGCTTATTGGTTTGTTTCTCATAACTTGTTCAGGTATACTCACTCTGAAATTCTTTGCTTGTTTGCATTTTGTTTTGCTTTGTTTTTGAGATGGGGTCTCTCTGTGTAACTCTGGGCTGGCCTAGAGCTCATCATGAGACTAAGCCAGCCTCTAACTCATAGAGATCCTCCTGCCCCTGCCTCCTGAGTTCTGGGATGTAGCTGGAGAGCTTCTCTCTGGGTCCTGCCGAGCCCCGGCAGTCCGACAGCCCACTTATAAAATAAACACACAGACGCTTATATTATTTACAAACTGTATGGCCATGGCAGGCTTCTTGCTAACTGTTATTATATCTTAAATTAACCCATTTCTATAAATCTATACCTTGCCATGTGGCTCGTGGCTTACCGGCATCTTCACATGCTGCTTGTCATGGCAGCGGCTGGCAGTGTCTCCCTGACTCAGCCTTTCACTTCCCAGAATCCTTCTCTCCCCTTGTCCCGCCTACTTCCTGCCTGGCCACTGGCCAATCAGTGTTTTATTTATACAGAACAATGTCCACAGCACTGGGATGAAATGTATATGCTACCATGCCCAGCTTCAGCCTGCTGCCTTACACACACAGACCGCCACCTCAGGAGTGGTGCCACCTTCAATGGATTGGACCTGCCCTTTAAAAAATTCCATGGCTTCCCTACCCCACAGGCTAATCTTATGGAGGCATTTTCTCAGGTGTGGTCCCCTCCTCACAACTCTAGCTTAGGTCAAGTTTACAAAATAAATAAACAAATAAAATAAAATAAAAAATAAAAAGAAAGAAAAGAATCAAGACACATTATAACTTTCACATACATATTTCATATATATAATTAAAATCAAAATTACCTAAACCGTCAGTTTTATACTGTGTGTGTGTGACATTTTTGGTATAGTCTGTTCTAAAAAGAATGTAGGCTGTGGCTCTAAAATGATCCTTGTCCTATTTGCAGGTTCTGTCTGGTAGTTGGACAAACGCTGACATAATGGAAGTGAACAAATATTGAATGAATGAATAAATGCATGACAGAGCAAACAAATGAACATGCATATTTCAACATCCGGAAAACAGCGGGCTGCATCAGATGATTTCTAAAATCTGATTTCTCAATCATTTCTGCTCTACCCTAGGACTCTGGTAATCCACAAATAAAGAGATTCCTGTGGACATGAGATCAGAGTGTTCTGTTTCAATTTGTTCACCAATTAGAGATATGTGGCATCTCATAACCTCCCCAAACCTTTCATCCCTGAGCCTGGAAAGACCAGCAAAGGCAAAAGGAGGGCTGGAAGCACAGGAATCTTACAAAAGTGTCTTTTGTAAGGTCCCAAGACTGATGCCCTATTATTGTTCTGTTGCTATGATAACACACCATGACCAAGACAACTTAGAGAAGAAAGAGTTTATTTTGGGCTTACATTTCCAGAAGGTTAGAGTCTATGGAGGCAGAATGGAAGTAACAGGAAGCAGGGAGAAATGGTGGCCAGATCAGCAGCTGATGACTTACATCTAGAACCACAAACAGGAAGTAGAGAGAAAGCACAGAAAACTGGGCTTTTGAAACCCCAAAGCCTGTCCCCAGTGACGCACTTTCTCTTGCAAAGCCACACCTCCTAAGCCTCCCCAAAGTAAACAGGGCTACCAATTGGAGTATTCAAATCCCTGAGACTTATGAGGGACATCTCAAGGCACCACAGCTGAGATGGGGGTGTGGAGAAAAGAGGGCTGGCCTCTGTGACCTGGAAAGGTATGTTTCCCCTGGACCAAGGAAACCTTAAGCCAAACCAATAGAGAACGTGAATATTTGGCCTCGTTTTTTTTTCTTAATAACCATCCACTGTTTGTAGCTAATTCTCTCATATTCATGGGCTACAGGCTTTAGAAGTTCTTAGGAAGGCCACCACAGTGCAACACGGGTCTCTAATGGAAGCTGGGAGCTAATGGAAGGCTGGTGGTGTTCTGGGAGTTCACCCAAGAGTTCTAGATAATTCACTGGGTAAGGCCCTTGGATAGCATGAGGAAAAGATGGCAGTGGGAGCCAGAGGTAGTGGTCTTGGTATTTGGACTGAAGGTAGAGGTGATCCCCACCCCAAATTATATTTTCATTAATATCGATTGTTTATCTGTCTAGTGTGTCCTGTAAAGTACAGCATCTTGTTTAATCCTCCTAACTCCATGGGTTCTAATCTATCATCCACTAAGACATAGGAAGGTTTAGACAAATTACAAGGAGTAAAGACAAGGTTTACCTGGTAGCCAGGTTCCAGGGCAGGCATGCTGGGCCATCTTACTGTGCAGAGGACAGTATGGTGTGGGATAGGGAAGAGAAAGCTTTCAGCTGGGCTCTGATCTGAAAGAGCTACTGGGAGAGCTGACCTATGAAGCCATCTGATGCTTGACATCTCATCTACAGGATGAACCTCCCACCCCATCATTAATTGCCACACATGCCAAGGGTAACACACAATGAAGGTCACATATTTATGACATTATTGCTTCTGGGAGCACTCCTAGCTCCCAGAATAACTGTTTGGATTGTCTCTCGATGAGAACATGTGAAGCAAAGGTAGAAGAATCAGAGCCAGAAGAAGGACTCCCTTTGAGATCAGAGCAATTCAGAGCAACTTCTAGGGTGGTAGGGATGAGGCAAGGACATTGGCAAGCTCCTACTAGTTCAAGGATAAAATGTAAGAGTTATGAGTTTTTTGAAAAACCAGAAGGCTGGGGGTGGGCACAGTTCAGTCAGTTAAGTGCTTGATGTAGGGGCATGAGGGCCTGGGTTTAATGTCCAGTACTGACATAAACAACAACAATACACATGGGCCTGGTGGCAGACACTTGTGGTCTCAACACTGGTGAGGTAGACATAGGTATCCCTGGAGTGTGCTAGCCAGGCAGCCTAGACTATTCAAGTGAACTCCAATAAGTGAACTCTTATTGGCCAATAAGAGGCCCTGTCTTAGAAGTCAAGGTGGTAGGCCCCTGAGGAATAACACTTGAGGTTAATCTCTGGTCTCCATATGTGCCATGTGCTCATACATGCATCTATGCACATAAATGAATGCATATACTCACACACTACACTTGCATGTATTCATAAAGAATGGTGTCTTAGTTAGGGTTTCTATTGCTGTGATGAAACACCATGTCCAAAAGCAAGTTGAGTAGGAAAGAGTTTTTTTTGTTGTTGTTGTTTGTTTGTTTTTGCTTATGCTTTCATATTGCTGTCCATCATTGAAGAAAGTCAGGACAGGAACTCAAACAGGGCAAGAAGCTGGGGGAGGAGCTGGTGCAGAAGTCATGGAGGGGTTCTGCTTACTGGCTTGCTCCCCATGGCTTGCTCAGGCTGCTTTCTTATAGAACCCAGGACCACCAGCCTAGGAATGATACCACCCACAATGGGCTGGGCCCTCCTCCATTGATCACTAATTGAGAAAATGCCTTACAGCTGGATCTCATGGAAGCATTTCCTCAACTGAGGCTCCTTCCTCTCTGATGACTCTAGCTTGTGTCAAGTTGACACAAACCAGCTGGTACAAATGGTTACTATATAGCTAAAACTGTGCTTAGTCCTTCTAAAAATGTTTTAATGTTATTTCACAACAATATAATTAAATTACACACACACACACACACACACACACACACACACACACACACACACACACATATATATATATATATATATATATATATATATATATATACTTTTAAAAAGGGTCTCACTATGTATCCTAGGTTGGCTTTTGTCTCAACATAATATGTATCCCAGACAGACACTAAACTCAAGATTCTCCTGCCTTAGTTTCCTGAATGCTGGGATTACAGGTGTGGGCCACCACACTCTGTCTTCATGAAGATATTCTTATTCCTATTTTATACCTGGGATGTCTGAGGCTCAAAGAAGTTAAATACATTGACCAAGACCAAAAAAATTGGAACTGAGATTTAAAACCAAGTCACTTAAAACTGAGTGATGAATCATCTTAGGACTGAGTTTTGCTTTCTGTGGGTATACTCTCCCTAATGAGCTTTATTGTCTGATAGAATAAGAATATTCATCCATATGTAGGATACTCAAGTGGATCCTTGATTCTTTTTTCAAGGGTGATAAAGGGCTAGGGCATAAAATAGATGGTACTGTACCTCACCCATTGTTGCCATATGTGTTTGAGAGCAGCCAGGATCCTGTGCTGACAGCTAGCCACTGAGAACAGGGAACTTGGAGAGACAATCCTAGCTGCAAAGATATAGACAGGACTTGGGGAACTTCTCAGGCATCACAGTCTAGTCCTGGGTCCAGGCATAACACCAGTTCATGAACTCAACTAAGAGTCCACAACATCCTTGAAGGTAGAGAGACAGCATGGCCTCTGTTCCAGCAACGCCACTCAGCTCTATCCAGCCTGTGTGGCTGACAGGCAGCACTGAGCTCTACCACTGCACCTCTTAAGAGGCCAATGCCCCATCCCATCCCTATGCTTCAGGCTTCTCCCTCAATGGCTCCTTTCTTCCTTCTTCTTCAACAGGCAGGCAGATCCTTATTTGCACACTGCCAAGTTGGACAGCTCAGGGGAGAAATGCCAGATTTTAAAGGCGACCTGCAAACAGAAATTAAGACAATACCTCCCTTGTTTGCATGCCTGAGGCACTGGATAGAATGACAGATTTCTTATTTATTTATTTATTGTGTGCATTTCTTGTATGTGCTTGTGTGTGTGTTTATGTGGGGATAAGTATGTACACACACACACAAACATACACACACACACACACACACACACACACACACACACACACACAAGCCAGAGGTCAAAATTGGGTGTTTCCTTTAATTGCTTCTCTACCTTGATTTTTTTTTCAGTATCTCCTACTAGCCTGGAATTGACTAATTAGGCTAAATTGACTGGCCAGAAAACACAAGGGATCCTCCTCTTTTGGCTCCTCAGCATCTGGACTACAGATGCTCAGCTTTTTATGTGGATGCTCTGGATCCAGAGTCACATGGCAAGCGCTTTACCAACTGAGCCACCTCCATGGTTTTCAGTTCCTGAATGGAAGGGCAAAAGTGTGGTCTAGGCCAACTCTTCATGCCTTGTGGCCCTTAGAGTGATCTATGAAGACAAAATGAGACAGACAAGGTGCTTGTGTTGCCCAAAGTGCGAAGGACCCAGGATTCAAGATATTCCAGAATTCGGTTCTCAGGCTTCTCCTACCCTCTGTGTGTAGGTCATTAATATGGTAAAGAATCTCAGGCAGAAAAGATACAAAATATTTGGCTCAGAGGGCATAGCAGGAAAGAAATTCAGGGACATGGGGGCTCATATTATCTCCTGATGTAGGTAGTACATTAGGCCACCTCAGATCCTATTTACCACAAGGATACCTATCTCATACATTGAGATGGTAAGAATGCCAACATGTCCTGGAAACCAGAGAGGAGTCTGGTCAGTTTCACATGGAGAGCCCATGGCATATGGAAATTAGTCACTGGTTACAGTTTCCTGAAAGGGAACAGACAGTTCAGGTTCATGAGAATGGGTTAGGTGGGTAGAAATCAGGTCAACCAAGTGCAGAGACAAGAACGTCTTCCAGGGTAGTGTCTGCCAAGCCACACGCACAGTCACACAGCTCCGAGGATAGGCAATAAAAGTTTCCAAGGGAGAATGAATCAGGAATCGAGCAGAGGCCAAGGTTAACAGTGAGGACCCTGGGTGGAGCTACGGCTCCAGCAGTAGAGTGCCTACTGAGCATGAGCAAGACCAGATGTAATCACTGAGGCCACAAAAAGAAGGGGTGGGGAGATATCTCAGCAGTTAAGGGCACCAGTTGCTTTTATAGAGGCCCCAGGTTTGATTCCCAGCACCCACATGGTGGCTTACAACCATCCATGACCCCAGAAGATCTGATGCTCTCTTCTAACCTCTGTGGGCACCAAGCGTGCCTTTGGTGCTGCACAAACATAAATGCAGGCAAAACACTCAATTACACAAAACAAATAAATCTTTAAACAAAATGCATGTGAGAAGAAAAAGAGTAAAAACCGTAATGTCTTGAATTTGCATTGTATCCCTGATTTTGGATAAGATAGTTCAGTGGTCTGGGCCTCAGTGTCCACAAGCATTAATGAGGCCAACAGTGACAGTGACCACTGCGATGGAGTGTGGTGAGGATTAGCTGAGACGTTGAGGTGTTGTGTTAGCATTAGCTGAGTGGTAGAACTGGTGAGTGTTTGAGGTATCTGTCACATACATGCCAACTCCAGCATCCAACTCCATAGGCCTCTTCACAAATCAACAAAGAATTCACTGCTTTCCTGTAAACTATCTAAATCCCAAAGCCTGAAGGATACTGTCACTTGAGACGCTTTGACTATGGACAAGCATTGGGATGTGGGCTCCTGGAACCCCGTTTGGACTTGGAGAGTAGGATGCTCATCTACACCTCATGCCTCTTACCTCTGAAGTCATACTTGCAAAACACCAAGGAGCAGAGTAATCTGCTCTCTGGATCACACCCAAAGGATTGTTGTTGGGTGCCAATGTTCCTATCAGTTTTATAGCACTAACAAGGGCCATAGGGGCGTAAAAAGAGACACCTTATCCAAGAAACCAACGACATCAGCATAGTCATGAAACCATCTAGTCACTTTCCCTTCATCCCTCTTCTCTTCTTTTTTCTTTCCTTTCCTCCAAAACAGGTCTAAGAACCTATTGTATAATGCAGGTTAACTTCACATGCGATCTTCTTGCCTCACCCTCTGAGGGCTGGGATAACAGGTATACTCCCCCATACAAAATTTACCAGCTAATTTTTCTGTGCACTTACTGTGTTCCGGACACCTTGCTGGTTTCTTGCTGTGTATCATCAACTTAATCCTTCCAAGCTCTCCCTGATGGTAATACTATCCTGATCCCTACTGTGGTAGTTTGAAATAAAATGGCCCCTCAAAGGAGTGGCACAATTAGGAGGCATGGCTTCGATGGAGAAAGTACGTCACTGTGAGGACAGGCTTTGAGGTCTCTTTTGCTCAAGCTTCCCTCAGTGTGTCTGTCAGTCGACTTCCTGTTGCTTGCAAAATGTAGGACTCTCAGCTGTTCCTCCAGCACAATGTCTGCCTGCATTCAGCCGTGCTCCCTGTCATGATGACAATGGACTGAACCTCTGAAAAGGTAAGTGAGCCTCCCCAATTAAATGTTTTCCTTGTAAGAGTTGCCGTGGTCATGGTGTCTTTTCACAGCAATAAAAACCCAAACCGAGACATCACTTTTTAGATGAGGAGCTAAGAGACACAGATATTAAATAACTTGTCCAAGGTCAACCTAGTGGGTGGTAAAATCCAAACCCAGACCCAGAACCTTTCTGACAACCAGCATTGAGTTCGGCCACATAGTGGTATCATGGGTAACACATTTCAAATTCCTATTTTAATGTCCTAAGCATTCACTCCAACAAAAGATTATTAAGCATGTGGGGCTTTATTTGTTTGTTTGTTTTTGTTTTAGCACATTAGTTTTGTGCTGTGGAATATTCCTGTACACTGTGTAAATGATGCTCTGATTGGTTTAATAAAGAAGCTGACTGACCAATAGCCAGGCGGGATAAGGTTAGGTGGAAAAACCAAAGTAAAGAGGGGAAGGAGAAGGGCAGAGTGGAGAGACGCGAGTGAGCCGCCCAAGAAGCAAGATGCTAGAGGACAGGTAAAGCCGTGAGACGTGGCAATCCACAGATTAATAAAAAAAAAAGGGTTAATTTAAATGTAAGAGCTAGTTAGTAATAAGCCTGAGCTACAAGATGTCACAACAACAACAAAACAAACACAGGGTTTGTGGCTTAAACAAAACAAACAACAGCAAACACACAGGGTTCGTGGCTTAAACATTTGTTCACCATATTTGAAATAGAAGATTAAAATTAAAGTAACAGCAAATTAAATGTCTGCTAAGAGATCCCCTTATTTTATTTATTTATTTATTTGTTTGTTTATTTTGCTTCTGGCTCCTTAAGAAGACTGTCTTCCCGGTTGTTTGGCTCAAACTGTTTGTGGGGGCACCCAGGCAGGGGTATCGGGATCTGTCCCTGGTGCATGGGCAGGCTTCTGGGAATCCAGTGCCTGTGGTGTGACACCTTGCACAGCCTTGGTGCTGTGGGAAGGGGCTTGGATCTGCCTAGGCTCAGTGTGCTGGGCTCTGCTGACTCCCCATGGGAGACCTTGATTTGGGGAATGTGGGGATGCGGGATGGCTTGGCAAAGAGGGCTGGGGGTAGGAGGAGGGAGGAAGGGGGATCTGTGGATGGTATGTGGAGTAGAAAATTTCTTAATAAAGAAAAAAAAAAGAAGACTGTCTTCCTGCTGTGTCCTTACAATGAAAAAATAATAATAATAAGCCTGAGCTATCAGCTGAACATTTTGTAGCCAATATAAGTTTCTGTGTGTTTATTTGGGACCAGCCAGTGGGGCCAGAAAAACTCCACCTCCATTTACAGTTTTGAGTGCCTATCAATTCAAAACGACCGTGCCTCGCAACTATTCTCATCATAGTAGACTGGCATGGGAATTAGTGCTGAGTGATGGAGAGAGATCCAGGGCAGACTTGGACTCTACCCACAAACCATATCCCTGTACCTCATGCACCAGCTAAACTGCCACGAACATTTCTGAGTCAATAATTAGAGTCATAAAAGAATTGGAGGACTACTCTCTATCCCTGCTCAACCCACAGCTCTGTATAGGTGGGCACTAGAATAGGGGGTGGGGGGGGGTAAGGTGGGTACTAGAGTGAGGGGGATGTGGGTACTAGAGTGAGGGGGAGGTGGGTACTTGAATAGGGGAGAAGGTGGGCACTTGAGTGAAGGAAGGGTGCAACAGGCTTTTTCCTGAAATATTCCCTCAGAAAACGACATAAAACTAGGAGATCATGAGCACAGCAGGGATGGAGCGAAGGAAGAAGGGCTTGCTCTGTGGGAGGAACGGGTGAGAGCAAACAGGAGGCCCAGGGCCACCTGCAGGAGGACTGAGAGGCCTCTGCGGAGGGAGTGGAAGGGAGGAGAGCCAGCTGAGGCAGGAAGGGAAGGCGGGAACTGGGAGAGCCTGAGGTTCAGTTCAGTTCAGGCAGAGAGAGGGCAGCCCCGCTGTATTTCCCAGGGACGCTCCACGGATGCAGGCAAGAAGGTAGAATGTCTTATGTTGGCCCCACCTCCTGAGCCTCTTGCTGAAGCTGCTGCATGGGACACAAAAGGGTGAGACACAAAGACGTCATCTCTGCTAACGGGAAACTGGTTTCAGGAGCTGAGAGGCCAAGTGTGACGGAAGCCTGCGCAGGGTGCTTCACACCGTTGTCCGCATTTTCCAGGTAAGCAGATGTTTGTGTGAAAGCCAGAGGTAAAGAAGAGCGAGGGCCTAAGTAGAGGAGGTAGGAGGTGGCTGGAGTCAGGGTAAGCTGGAGGAGTGCAGGGACAGGAGCAGGCTTCTGAAGAGTGTTTGTGTATGCATTGGGAGAACCCCGGCGCCATCCACAGCTGGCTGATGGGTGTGGATGAAGTCCAGCAAAGGGCTGTGCTCTCCTGGCCTCCGAACCTGTACATCCTGAGAGTAGCAGTTCCAGCCACACCTCCTTCTCAGGGATCCTCTGTCTGACCAGGTGTATTTGTGCAGACTTTGCCAGATAACTGTACCCTGGTCTCCTAGCCTTCCCTCTGAGAAAGAGCAAAAGCCTTCAACTTCAATAGAAGGAAGAAGGCAGGGTGACTATGTTTATTCCCTGGGGATGTGGCTTACAAGAAAAGGGATTCTCTGTCAGGAAAGGGAATCTGGCCTGAGGCTCCCGAGAAAGGTAAGCTAGCAGAAGCCTGCCTGATACTCTGAGGAGGCTTACCTGTGGCCCAGAGGAAGGGAACAAGATACAGGCTGTGGAGAACAGGGTGCATATGGGTAAGGAGAGTAGTACACAGAGTAGACTAGGAGGAGTGTGCATAGCATGCTGGTACAGAGAGGATGAGACCTTGGGCATCTGTTACATACAAACCCAGCACCCCTGTATTTCCCAGCTGGGAGACTCCAGACCCGATCCAGCATGCTCGTCATCTGGAGTGTGCTAGCTGTGTGTCTCTTCACAGGTACACACACACACACACACACACACACACACACACACACACACACACACACACAGTTGCTGCTCTCTAAGGTCCCTAGTGTTGAACATATTTCAGACTTGGTTTCTTGTCAAAACATACACCAGCCACACTCTGGCACGTTATGAGGCCAGTGCATTCAGAGGAGTACTCCCTGGGCTTCAGGACACAAAAGGACATGACATACTGACACAGGCAGGTCTACAATACGCCTTCCCTTACTCCACAGCTTCTATATGCAGACTCAAAAGCGACGCTTCCTCTCCACCTTTCTCCGCTCCACACACACACACAGTCACTCTGGACAGTAAGCAGGTAGGAGTATGGAGAGCACAGTTGAGTAAGACAGGTACAGGATATACCAAGTTCAAAGACAGCTCCTGTCATCCCTGCTGAGGTGGGCGTGGAAAGCCGTGCAAGCAGTCGGGGAGTTTAGTGGCAGTTACTCTTCAGCAACTAACATTCCTGGCCCCAGAAGTCTATACAGCATGCTTCCTGACTCAGTCAGCCCTGGCCTCTTTCTCCTGCAGAGGGCAATCCGGGTCAGTGAGCACAGGGAGGAGTCCAATGCTGAGCCAGCACAGCCAAGGTTTCCCTGGCGCAGCAACACAAGGGGCTTTGATGCCTGCAGAGAGAGACAGCTCTTCCCGCCAGGATGCTGTGGCTGCTCCTGGCACGGCCCAGCCCCACACAGACCCTGCTCTGGAGGCCTCAGCTAAGAGGTATATTGGGTTCAACATACAGCCATGGAATTTGAGAGAAATCCCAGAGCTGATGTCTGTGAGCTGTATGGCCTTGAGCAGGCAGAAAACTTCATTAAGGTTCAAGGTCCTGTCTGGAAGATGGGAGGAAAGACACAGTTATATCGATCTCCGTCTGGAAGGTCGCTGGAAGGAATAAGTGAAAATGTGTCTGTCTGGGAAGCAGTCAGCACAGAGTGAGTACTCTCCAAAATGGGGAAGTCAGTGTTCACTGTATCTGGCATTCTTAGGATGTTCCCTCAGAACTAAAGCAAGCTCACCCCACTGGCCAGTGACTAATTCCCATTCTCACTCCAAGGCCTTCATTAAGGTCCCCCTTCGGAAGCCACTCACCCACACATACACTTCTTGTTAACTGGCAATCAGCAGACTTTGTGTCTTCAAGCTAAAGCAAAATTAAATTGAAAATAAATCTCAATGGCTTCTACATCTCATGCCTTGCTGTCCAAACCTTAAGTCCATGCTTGTCAAATTGGGGAACACATATACCCTTGTGGATATGTAGGGTATTCTAGGCCTGTGGTGCCGTGGGGATTCACATGGCACACTTAGGGGAAGGTTAAACATTGGAGCTAAAGGTGAACGAACATAGAATATAAATTCCCACAAATGTTTAAAATGGAGCCTTTTAAATTCTAGGTGGGCATCTCTTTCTCTTTGCCTTCCTCTCTTCACTCTTCATGGCAGTTAGGGCCTTTTCATCCATTGCAAAGATAGTAAAGGCCCTGCATAAGCAGACAGGTGGCTTGGGAACCCATCTGGTGTCTTATGTTCTCATCCAAATTTTCTGGGGACAATTCTTTGCCTTCAGAAGAGGTGGCCTATATAGCCCAATGCCTGGGAGGCAGCCTCAGATTACCATTACAGGATAACCCACTTGCCTTCCAGGTGTCTCTGATAGCACTTTCTCTGGGTTTCTAGCAAGTAGGATTTCCCAAGGGAAGATGGGTGACCATGGCAGTTTCAGCAGAGTCCATAGCCTCCTTCATCCCATGATGCTGGACTATATACCTGGCTTGGCTGTCAGTAGGAAAAAGAGCCATGGTGGGAACCCCATATCCTCTGGCTATGAAGGAGATTAAATACACTCACAGTTTACTCTCCACCCTTTCCCCCATCTGCAGGAACTCTGAGCCAAGCAAAAGCTCTTTCTAGGAGGAGCAGACGATTGAAGTGTCTGCACACTATGTCACAAATGGACTCCCAGGACAGGTGGAACAAGGAGTCCCTTGGTACTATGATTCATGACACTCAGATGTGGAGCATGAACTTGGAGAGTGAGGATGAGGACGGTAGGGAGGGTGGCTCTCTAGGAACCCAGAACAACACCGACTTGCAGTGTGACACCCAGTACTGCAAAGAAGAAGAGAAATGGTCTGGGTCCTTCTGCCCTGGCTATGTGGAGCAGAAACCTGGGGAGAAGCCTAGGAGGACCACCAACCGGGGAAAAAGGGAATCGAAGATAACACAGACTCAAGATTTCCCTCCGTTAGAGGAGGTTCTCAGTGCCCCTTTCAGAGGCTTCTCACAGAGGCAGCCTCATAGGGACTCGGCGGGCAATGACGGGAACCAGAAGGCAAACAAGGACATAACCTTGGAAGTCCCGACCAGTTTCTTGGATAGTGGGGGGTCTTTTTGGTTACAGAACAGTGCAGATGCATCCTCCCCAGACAAGATCTCTCTGGAGCACCTTCCCAGGTCCAAGAGCTCCCCAGCTCAGACTTCAGCCACTCCTGCCAGCCCGGCAGCAGCGTTGGCAAAAGCGCAGGGCAGTAGAAAAGTCCAGGGCCAGGTAGGTCCAGGAAGCAGAGGGCAGGAAGAAGAGAGCGCTGACAGGTGTGTGCAGGACAGGCGGGCCTTCCAGAAGTCCAGCAAACTTCAGGTCCCCGAAGAACACCGTGGCGCCAAACCCTATGTGTGCCAACTGTGCGGGAAGGCCTACTCCCACCGCAGCACGCTCCAGCAGCACCGGCGCCTGCATACAGGCGAGCGACCCTACCGCTGCCCCTTCTGCGACAAGGCGTACACCTGGTCCTCCGATCACCGCAAGCACATCCGCACCCACACCGGCGAGAAACCCTATGGGTGCCCGGACTGCGGGAGGGCCTTCGTGCGCTCCTCCGATCTGCGCAAACACCAGCGCAACATGCACAGCAACGACAAGCCCTTCCCGTGCGCCCAGTGTGGCTTGACCTTCAACAGGCCACTGTCCCTGCTGCGCCACCAGCGCACGCACCTGGGCGCCAAGCCTTTCCGCTGCGCCTCCTGCGGCCGCGAGTTCTCCGTGGCCAGCCGCATGGTGGAGCATCAGCGCGTGTACTCGGGCGAGCGGCCCTTCCCCTGCTCCACCTGCGGCAAGTGCTTCACCAAAGCCTCCAACCTGCAGGAGCACCAGACGCTGCACACCGGCCAGAGGCCCTTCAAGTGCACCGACTGCGGCGTGGCCTTCGCGCAGCCCTCGCGCCTCCTGCGCCACCAGCGCATCCACACCGGCGAGAGGCCTTTTCATTGCGCCGAGTGCGGTCAGGCCTTCGCCCGCTCCTCCACCCTGAAGCGGCACCAACAGATCCACTCCGGGGACAAGGACTTCCTCTGTGCCGAGTGCGGCAGGGCCTTCCGCATCGCATCCGAGTTGGCGCAGCACATCCGGATGCACAGCGGGGAGAGGCCCTACCAGTGTGAGGGCTGCGGCCAGGCCTTTACCCGCTCCAATCACCTCCAACGACACCAAGCCAAGCATGATACCTGCAAGAAGGAGCCTGCCCCATCCTCCTCCAATAATGAGTGAGAGCGCCATTGGCTTGCTGCTAAGAGAAGCGAAGGCACCCTGGACTTCACAGCGCAGCAGCAGCAGCAGCAGCAGCAGCAGCAGCAGCAGCAGCAGCAGCAGCAGCAGGGTGGAACCCAGGCTGGTGGGCCCACCCACATCCTATTCTACCATCAAAGACAGCCAGGCTCAGTGGTCACCCCCCTCACTCCCTGGTTTCTGGCCGTGGGGCGGTCCATGTACTTTAGGTATTTGATGTGTTGTGAGACAAAGTAATCCCAAGGAGAGTGTCCAGGTGTGCAAGTTCACTCTGGCCTCTCACTGCTCGGAGGCCACAAGCAATTGGAAAAGGGTAAGGTAAAAATGTAGGGGCTGGCCAATAGTCGGATTCCTTAGGTCAGGGGGTTTCCGAGAATGAGAGGGTATAGAATTCTGTGCTGGGCTCTGTGCAGGATTCCACAGGGACACTGATGAAAAAGGTCTATTTTCTTCTTTCCTCAAAGGCATACCAAAGATTGAGAAGACCATCTTTAGAGAAAGATTCTTTTTGATTTTTATTATATAAAGGAATCCTTAGAAACGATTCCTGTGACGGACTCTTCCTAAGAACAAAGCCAACCTGGGGTAACTCAAACCAAGCCAGACATCCTGTCATGTCACTTGACTGCTAAAATGACTTTAACTTTGAGGGAATGTCTCCCGGGGGTTGGCTTTGAAGTACAGACGGCAAGGATGGGGGTTTGTGCTGTGTTTGGCAAGCTGTGACTCCAGAAGTTGAGAACAGTCTCAGCATCCAGAAAAGAGGCCAGTTCCTTATACAGGAGAATGTGGTAACTGGACCTCACCTGGGTCCCACCCATAAAGTTCCCAGGTGTCTCCTCTCTGCCACTGCTTTTCCCATTCACAGGATTTGAACTTAAGCCACAAGTGTCATTTGTAGAGAGAGATTAAATTCCTCCGGATAAGCCACAGTTTGGTTCATTTAAACCTGCCTGGATCATTAGCTGTGATTTGAAGGAAATAAAACAGCACGCTTTGCCCAGGTGCCAATGGGCTTATTTGTGTTGTTTGTATCAAAGTCCATTAAAATCAGCTGTGAACATCTCATGCTTCATCATTATCCTCTAACGAATTCATTCAAAATCTGCCCTAACAGTCATTCCTCAACTGATTCTTATAAAATCAGTAGTTTGTGGATTTGGACGTTGACTGTGAGGAATCTGTGGCTTCATGAAACATTTGATGCTGACAAAGGACACTTGTAATCCTTCCAAAGTGTGCCGTGTAGGAATTTATCTTTTCAAAGTTTTTTTTTCTATGTGTGTTTTTTTTCTATGTATGGGGGTATGTTGTATGCATGTGTTCATGCGTGTGTGTGTGTGTGTGTGTGTGTGTGTGTGTGTGTGTGTGTGTGTGTGTTTGTGTTTACTGGTCTAAATATTCCAGGCTATATTTATATTCATTGACTGTTCAACACGAGCCTTTCAGTGGATGTAAGAGAACACTGGTTGGGACAACGTTTCTTAAACATGTGACTTATGCAACAGCCTGTGAATGTGCGTGCAGAAGCTGGACCAGGACACGGAGTCTCTCTCTGTCACTCTCCACCTTATCTTTTGAGACAGGGTCTGTCGGTGAATCTAGAGGTCACGTCTCAGCTAGGCTGGCTGTCCGACAAGCCCCCAGGATCTTCCTGTGTCCATCTTACCTGATTTAGGGTCTGTCAGTACGTGCTGCCACAGCTGACTTTTATGTGGGTGCCGGGAATCTAAAATCAGGTCCTCATGTGTTTGCTTACCTAGCAAACACTCTACCCACTGAGCCATCTCTCCAATCCCCTATCTATAAAATTCTCTCCGACTCCACCTGATTTGGACCCAGGGTGTGACTGTTAAATAGCGTTCTCAAGATACATGAGGCCAAAGAGTAGTAATAAGTACAGCCATGCCTTGCTGGACATAAGCATCCTTTGTAAGCCACAAGCCTGAGGGTCTGTGTGCTAACTCCATTAGATAATCCGAATATCTAGATGACTACTTTTAGTCCATCCTTATCATTCGCCAATCAAGCATCTTGAAGTCTGACTTCTGCAGCTGAGCAGTGGAATGGGAATGATGGCAATAGATAATAAGGGATGGAGTTGTCTTGGCAGTTGACAAGAACTGTGGCTGATTCAAAAGCATTAGACAGGCAGAGAAATAAGATCTAACTTTTGACTACAAATAGAATAAAGGCTAGTATGTAATCAGTAAAATATTTGAAGACTGGTTATTCCTCTGTATTTTTTGAAGATGGTTGTTAGCATAATTTTCAGTAGTTAAAAATTTTGGTTTGGCTCTATACTTTCATTGAGTTTCTAACCTCAAGGATAATTCGTACAACATCTTCATAAAAGTCAGAATGGTTATTAACCACTCAACTTGCTGAATCCTAGCCTTGAGTATCCAGACAGGATTGCAGTGCGGTCTCTGGGTCTCACTTTCAGGTCTGCACACCTTTGAAGAAGTCAGAAAAACAGGATTAGCATGTGCTGGGTATCTTCAGTATTCTGTACTATGTTTCTGACACATAAGGAGGTGGAATGAACTGACTAAAAAGAAATTCATGAATTGTTCAGACCCGGGGCATAAGATAAATTGTCTCAACCAGTCTTCTCTTACATCCTCTGAAAGGGCTCGCGTTAAATAGGTAATGGATGTAGGGCAGGATATTCAGACCAGCTAAATGTGCACAAGGGGATTGTAGTAACAATACAGAGAGCAGACACAAGAGAAGCCAACCAGTTGTGAGAGAGTTTCACACACATTCTGCTGAGAGGAACCTGACATTCCAAGTAGGGTAAACTGAAATATCTTTGGAGAAGAATCAATGCTTGAAGACAAGTTATGCCAGCTCACATTGTTGCTCCAAATAAGTTGGGCTCTTTTCATCTGGCTTCCTAGGAATTTACTCTACATCACAGTCGACAATCTCATGTCCTTATTTCATAATTCAAAGTCAAAGCTGGGGCTTCTTTGTTAGATTACTTAAAGCTTCTTTCTGGGCTGATACTGTTTTCACAGATTAGCTCATCAGTGCTGATTTGGATATACTTAGTATAGATGTTCACTTATGTGTTTCCACTCAATAAAAGTTCACTTGATATAGTGTCTTAGTTAGGGTTTCTTCTATTGCTGTGAAGAGACACCATGACCACAGCAACTCTTTTTTTTTTTTAAACCGGAGCTGAGGACCAAACCCAGGGCCTTGTGCTTGCTAGGTAAGCGCTCTACCACTGAGCTAAGTCCCGAACCCCCACAGCAACTCTTATAAGGAAAATACTTAATTGAGGGGGCTCGCTTACAGTTTCAGAGGTTTAGTCCAGTATCATCATGGCAGGGAGCAGGGCAGCAGGCAGGCAGATGTGGTACTGGAAAAACAGCTGAGAGTCCTTTGCCTTGCAAGCAACTGGAAGTCAACTGAAAGTCACATTGAGGGAAGCTTGAGCAAAAGAGACTTCAAAGCCAGCCCCCATGGTGGCACACTTCCTCCAACAAGGCCGAACCTTCTAATAGTGCCACTCCCTTGGGAGCCATTTTCTTATATACGGGCCAAACCACCACATATAGTCACCAGAATCTATAGTGACCATGACCTGCATAATACAAAGACTAGATAAGGCTTTACAGATCACCCCTTATCCACAGAAACAGTCTGTTTTTACCCGGAGGAGCTACTGGCAGTTGTGATGGTATACACCAGTAGGATGCACAGACAGGTGGGTGTAGCATGAATCTCTAAAGGTTCTTATTAATAAAATCAAACCTGAGGCCAGTTATTGGGGTGAACACTGGAAGATCAGCGAGACAGAACAAGCCACAGCTAACCTCACCTGGCCAACTTCTCAGCTGATCTTGTTTCCTCAGACTGGAAGCCTCTGTGTCCTCATATCCGAATGGCTCTCAGCTGAACTGTGCTGCTCAAAACCTAAAAGCTTAACCAGCCAAATGCTTCTAGTTTCTGGTCCTCACGCCTTATATACCTTTCTGCTTTCTACCACCACTCCCTGGGATTAAAGGCGTGAATCACCGTGCTTGGCTGTATCCTTGAACAGATGGATTTCTACCTCTGGAATGCTAGGATTAAAGGCGTGTGCTACCACTACCTATCCTAAGTATCTAGTGGCTTTTCTGTTCTCTGACCCCAGATAAGTTTATTAGGGAACACAAAATTTTGGGGAACACAATATCACCACAGGTGGGGACACAGGGAGCATGAGTTTGAGGCCAGCTTGGGCTATACCTGGGAGTGTCAGGGTGGTGGTGGTGGTTTTGGTGGTGGTGTGTGGAGAGATGATTTGGTGGTTAAGAATGTTTATTGCTCTTCCAGAGGACTGGAGTTTAGTTCACAGCACTAATAGCAAACAACTCAGATCCTTCTGCAACTCCAGCACCAGAAGATCTGATGCCCTTCTTCCAGCTTTCATGACCATACACAAACATAGCATACATTCACACAGACACACACGGACAAATAAAATGATAAAAACAAATCTTTAAAAAGATCTTATTTTTTAAATCAAATGATGATGACTATTAACTCTTTTTTTTTTAAGATAAGGACTGAAGAAGTTAACTTGTCCAAGAATAGTGACTAGAACGTGGCTGGCACAGCTGTCTCTGCTTCTGTTTGGTGTGGAAGAATATTCCACAGTTGTTGATGTCATGCATGTATAAGTGTTAGGCAGTCACAATTGCAAAATAGAGTAAAAGTTGGAACAGTGTATGGGAAATCATGATTTCATTCAGGGAAGACCGAGAATGATCTGAGAATGAGTGTGGGACAGCTTGGGTTGGCAGATGTTCATCATTAGTTCTTGGGTAAAACTATTAATAAGCTGGCCAGAAGGAATGTAATGGAGCCAAAGAAGGGATGGTTCCTTGAAAGCCCACTAATATTTTCTTGGCTAAAGAAACATTTTGTGCCTGTGTAATATACAAAGAAATACACCAGGAATGAATAGCTCTTGGTATTTACACATGTTTTAGAATCCCGGTGCATGCACGTTGTAAAGCTATACGACCTTGCTCCTTGCTATGACCAGAACAGATTACACAGGGGCTCCAAATAGACCTTTAAAAACTCTTGCTTAGAAGGAGTTGGTGTTAAGAATCAGTTTAATTGTTAGAACACTCGAGCAGATGCCATTGCTAAACTCAGTACTCAGATGTGAACTACAAACTCAACGGCCTGTGAAAACACTGCCAATGACGGAAGGACTCACTCCTCGGACCAGAAAAGGCATTCCTGTTTAACAAGGATACCTGTTTTACTATTGATTGCTCTCTGTCCTTTCCGCACGAAACCACTCTGGTTCAGTTTTCCCACCATGCCTGGGTTGTATTTTGTAGTTCTTGCTCCTCTTTGATTTTCTTTAACCAGCTCCCATCTGTCCTCATTCGTATCAGTTCAGAATTTCCTGGTCCTAAGACTGTCAGGAACTCAGTTGATTGCTTCGCTGAGTAGGTGGAGGCCCGCTCACCACTTCTTGCCTTGCTCACCCCAGACCTCCTCAACACATCTTCCCCTCCCCTCCCCCGCAACACTCTGGTGCTGCCTCCTCCTCCTGCCTTATAACCCACTGAGCTCAATGAATGCCATCCTTACACACACACACATGAGTGTGGAGACATCCACTGGAACATGGGCACTCTATCTGAAGCCACACTCCTGAAGAAAATGATTCTCCTTCCTCCAAGACCCACAAACTGTTGGTAGCTTCTCACCTAGAGGTAAAGATTCATGAAGCCCTCTACCCTCTATCTTTTAAAATACCACTTGTGGGATCTGGGTATAATTTAATGATAGAATGCCTGTTTAGGGTGTGTGAGGCTGTAGGCTCAATGGCCAACAGCACAAATACAGACAGACAGACAGACAGACACATACACACACACACACATCTTTTGTAATAAAAACATAAGTAATTATTTCCCTGAGTTTTGTGAACCATTCTAGCAAATTAATCGAACCCAAGGACATAACTCTATCTTATGGTTAGTTTTTCTAAAACACAGGAAAAAAATCCCAGAGCTTGTGATTGGCATTTGAAGTGAGGAGGAAGTAGTCTTAGGAACCTCTGGAGGTGGGATCTAATTCTGTCTATATGGACTACTGGAATTACAGTGAATCAGAAGACACACAACTGACATATACTACATTATTGCTTGTTGGAAGAGAGAACTATCATAACTTTGGGAATCACAGAAGACTTCTATGTTAACAGCTTTCCAAGATATTAAAAGACTTATCTACAAAAATGTCTAAGA